TATACAGATGAGATGATAGCCCGCAGTTCTGAAGGAATGTCACTAGATGAGTTCTAAACCATTCCCTTGATATGGAAGATCCGTTGGGGGGGATGAATAGGGCAGAGTGATTAGGGGTGCTGCAGGGTCGTGAAATAAAGGGGCAGTAGTTATTGTTAATGTCTATGACATAAGTATTTGATACATCAGAAAAGCAGACCTTAATATTTGGTACAGAAACCTTTGTTTGCAGTTACAGAGATCATACGTTTCCTGTAGTTCTTGACCAGGTTTGCACACACTGCAGCAGGGATTTTGGCCAACTCCTCCATACAGACCTTCTCCAGATCCTTCAGGTTTCGGGGCTGTCGCTGGGCAATACGGACTTTTAGCTCCCTCCAAAGATTTTCTATTGGGTTCAGGTCTGGAGACTGGTTAGGCTACTCCAGGACCGTGAGATGCTTCGACCCATCTTCAATGCTCTTACTGAGGGAAGGAGGTTGTTGGCCAAGATCTGGCGATACATGGCCCCATCCATCCTCCCCTCAACACGGTGCAGTCGTCCTGTCCCCTTTGCTCCATGCTTCACGGTTGGGATGGTATTCTTGGGGTTGTACTCATCCTCCTTCTTCCTCCAAACACGGTGAGTGGAGTTTAGACCAAAAAGCTCTATTTTTCTCTCATCAGACCACATGACCTTCTCCCATTCCTCCTCTGGATCATCCAGATGGTCATTGGCAAACTTCAGACGGGCCTGGACATGCGCTGGCTTGAACAGGGGAAACTTGCGTACGCTACAGGATTTTAATCCATGACGGCGTAGTGTGTTACTAATGGTTTTATTTGAGACTGTGGTCCCAGCTCTCTTCAGGTCATTGACCAGGTCCTGCCATGTAGTTCTGGGCTGATCCCTCACCTTCCTCATGATCACTGATGCCCCATGAGGTGAGATCTTGCATGGAGCCCCAGACAGAGGGAGATTGACCGTCATCTTGAACAACTTCCATTTTCTAATGATTGCACCAACTGTTGTTGCCTTCTCACCAAGCTGCTTGCCTATTGTCCTGTAGCCCATCCCAGCCTTGTGCAGGTCTACAATTTTACCTGATGTCCTTACACAGCTCTCTAGTCTTGGCCATTGTGGAGAGGTTGGAGTCTGTTTGATTGAGTGTGTGGACAGGTGTCTTTTATACAGGTAACGGGTTCAAACAGGTGCAGTTAATAAAGGTAATGAGTGGTGAACAGGAGGGCTTCTTAAAGAGAAACTAACAGGTCTGTGAGAGCCGGAATTCTCACTCGTTGGTAGATGATCAAATACTTATGTCATGAAATAAAATGCAAATTAATTACTTAAAAATCATACAATGTGATTTTCTGGATTTTTGTTTTAGATTCCGTCACACACAGTTGAAGAGTACCTACGATAAAAATTACAGACTTCTACGTGCTTTGTAAGTGGAAAAACCTGCTAAATCGGCAGTGAATCAAAAGCCCTATTCTGATGGGATAAGTATTACCTGGGGACCACGTGTGATTTAGAAATTACTCCCCAACACACTTGATTTCGTGTGGCGCATTCGCACGGGGTAAGTGAAGCCTGTGATTTTACTCGAATTTACTGACTTATCTCCCGGATATGATGTCAATAGGTTATTGCTTGGAAATGTCTTGTAGTTATAGGTCTAGCTGTATGATATGTCATAAACAGAATAATGTTCCTTACCGCATGCAGCTATGTCATTCATCTCCATCAAATCATTATTTTTGTTTTTGCTCTTCTGATGGTTTTCAGCTTTCACTTTCTGCAAATTGTATAGTTGTATGGTGTAGGCTATAGCTATTTGACACAGCACCCAAAATACTATCAAAACACTCCATTACTCGCGAAAGACTGATAAAAAAAGCGCACAGGAAACAAAAACTTTGAAAAAATTATATACGACCCCGCAAAATCACAGAGATGCCGATTCGCGCGGGACTAATATTATTACAGGACCTCGGTGTTCGGCAAAATATGATAGGTCATTTGCGGGGGAATTTTTACTTTACAAATTACAGATATGGCCGATTTGCACGGGATTAAGATCACAGACAACCTCTGGAATTATTACAAATGACTAGAGGTCACCAGGTAATACTTATCCCGTGCGAATAGGGCTAAATACTTGTTCTCCCCACTGTATATAGGCTAATTTCTACTTCAGATGACTTTTTTGCTCTCTGGGAAACTATGATAATAATATCCCCACTGTTTAGTCAAATCAAATCTATTTTTTGGCTTTTAGTGACATCAGTGTTAATTTTGTCAGCAAATTTTGATTTAGTTTTAGTCTTAGTCTTTTGACTAAAATGCCATTTAGTTTTAGTCATATTTTAGTCATCTGAATTGTTTTAGTTTTAGTCTAGTTTTAGTCGACGAAATACAATAACATTTTAGTCGACTAAATCTACAGTAGATTTAGTCGACTAAAATATAATGGGTTTAGTTCAATTGTAATGTGTTAATTTAGAATTTCTCTAAAATTTCCAAACCCATACTCCCGGAGAAAACATCTATTAACCTATTAATATGAATGATTTTTAAGTTTGAACATGCAATACAGATACAGATTTAACTGCTGTTACTTAAAAAATATCTTAAAATGAAATAAAACCACTTTTCCTAAAGTACAACACAGTCTTCTTTACAATGAATGATATATTCATTCCTTTTAACTACTTACACATCATTCTTTATTCTTTCAAGCAGACATATTTATTTGTATGAATTAAATATAATTAATCCTTATTAAAGCTATTAACAAACAGTGAATGCTTTTCTCTTTTTCTTTTGTTGCTTGATCAAAATTAAGGACACGGACCGCATTAGGTTTATTGACACTGTCACTTTAAGACGTCGGATCATGTCCAATGACATGCGGATACAATTGCACTGATGCACATCCGACACACTCACAGTTTAAGACATAACCAGCATAGTTTACATGAATACTCTCCAAAAAGGACATTTAGACATACTGTTGTGTATTTCTCCATTCAGACACGAAAGAGAGCTCAATTCAGTAGCCTACTCGCGCGCTGTAGGTGTATTGTGCATGACTGCACGCTTCGGGTTAGGTGTGTGCGCACAGAAAACTGCACCGAATAGAGCTCTTTTTTGCATCGTCACTCTTATTCAGAGATCTATATGTCTGCCCTACTCATTCTCCCAGACGTTCACATTTTTTTAACGTTTTATGACCGCGGGGTAGATCACGTTACAGTAGCCTACAAATGTGCGCATCTACCACACACGCAGGACATCAGTTCTGACGGATCGCTTCCCAAATCGTCACTATCTAACATTTTCGTCTAGTTTTTATTCGTTGACGAAAATGTCAATAGATTTTCGTCATAGTCTTTGTCATTCAAAACTAGGTTTTATTTAGTTATCGTCTCGTTTTCGTCTGTGAAAAAATGTCGTTGACGAATAATTTTCGTCGTTATTTTCGTCAACGAAATTAACACTGAGTGACATGCTTTTTAATTACATATGAAAGCTGCAGTCTGTAACTTTTGGCACTCTAGCGGTAAATAAAATTGCTGGCGTCTTGGTATCCTACTGTGCTACTCCGCAGCGTGCCGAGTGCCGACGCGAACCAGTCAGGGGCCATTCACATAAGCCGTTTTATGCGCGTGCATATTTGTTATTACAAATGTAGGAGCGACGCGCTCATAATAGATGCCGCAAGCGCACAGCAGGGTCAGGGACCTGGATATTGGATAAAGTGCGCTGGCCCAAAAAAGGTTGAGAACCACTGGTTTAGGAGGTTAAATGTGATGGGGTAAATATTGGAAATTGACACGTCCTTTTCTATTGACATTTTAAGGTTTCCAACACTGGCGCAATCTCTGCCAGTATTCATCTCCGATCTCGAAGGTTCTGGTTTCTTGCAGCTTTGTTACCATTCGGTTAGACAGAACCATTGTTGAAGAAGTCTTCCAAACACGTCACACACTGAGTTTCATCTTGTTTTGCACGATTGAATAAGCTGGTGTTTCGGAAGTTTCATTTGTTCTTATTTTCACCTCAAGTGCCTTGTATGTAGGGATGTTGTGGTTGAAGTGTCTGACAAGCTGCCTAGCTGTAATGATAACCCGATGCACAAACGCATTTAAACCACCAGCAACGTCATTAAACAACGTCATTAACCACCAGCTGCAGTTTATGTCCAAAACAGGCTATTTAGTCCCATTGCACCCATCCGGGAGAGTTTGCTGCCACAATGTTTGTGACTTAACACATGCAGACACTTTCCCAGTCCCCAAGTCTCCACCACATCAATTAATTTTGGTGTGAGGTTGTCAGCTGTGTTTTGGCCTGGCAAACTTTCTGTTAGTAGGACAGCTGATTTAGCTTTTCAGTCCTCGTTGATAAAGTACTCCCACTTCAGAAGTCACTACTAATGAGTTGAATCTGGAGTGTTTGATTTAGGGAGGAATACAAAATGTGCACTAGATGTGTAGTTTTCTTATTTTCCAATGACATGATTATGACAGCTGACAACCACATTGCCCTCATGTCACAATATACATCTGAGTTTCTTAGTTTATTTCTGTCCTTAGTCTGCATTTTTATGTATAGTATAGTAACATGTATTTAATAGTGTCGTTGAAAACTAAAAAGTGTTGAAAGTCCTGAAAAATTGCAGACAACTCTTTCAGTAGACTTATTTCAGTAGGCTTTGATGCTTTAAGTTGTTTTTTATGTCTGCTGTTTTGTGCCATTAAAGTGTTGTTAACTTGTATTCGTCTGTTTTCGCCTTAGACCTGATGCCGTTGAAAGAGGAGAGTCAAGAACCGAATGGAATGGAAGAGAAAGATCAGTATAAGAAACATCATGATTTCATGACTGGAAAGAAATCCACAGTGATGGAAAAGACTCGCTCACGAAAAAGAGCTCAAAAGACCAAACCTAACAGTTATTTCACTTGCCGTCTATGTGAAAAAAAAAAAGTCAAAAACGAAACCTTGAAATCCACATGAGAGTTCACACTGGAGAGAAGCCTTTCACATGCCAACAGTGTGGAAAGAGTTTCACTCAAATACAAAGCCTTAATGTCCACATCAGAATTCACACTGGAGAGAGTCGTTTCACCTGTCAACAGTGTGGAAAGAGTTTCACTCAAAAACAAAACCTTAATGTCCACATGAGAATTCACACTGGAGAAAAGCCTTATACTTGCTCTCATTGTGGACAGAGTTTTGCACATAAAAACACCCTTAATTCCCACATGAGAATTCACACTGGAGAAAAGCTGTTCATATGTGATCAATGTGGAAAGCGCTTCACAACAGTTGTAAATCTTAGGTATCACATTATCATTCACACTGGAGAGAAACCACTCATTGGAAAAAGACCGTTCACATGTGATCAGTGTGGAAGGATTTTCACACGTAAAGTAACCCTTAATTGCCACATGAGGATTCACTCAGGAGAGAACAGTTGTATATGTCATCACTGTGGAAATTGTTTTAGTCATAAAAGTAGCCTCAGCACTCATATGAGACTTCACACTGGAGAGAAACATTTCATCTGTAAACTGTGTGGCAAGAGTTTTTCACAAAACGGAAATCTTAAGGCTCACACGAGTACTTGCACTGGAGAGAAGCGGTTCACGTGTTGAAAATGCTGTCTTGCTGTGAAATGCTACTATGTAACTGAATGATTATACATATAATTACAAAAACTGAATGTAATAAGAACATTACACCGCATTCTTTCCTTGCATTTTTAGTGAGAGAATGAATTGGTAATGTCTTCAATCTAGACATTTATATGGCTACTGGGCTCATCTGGTAGTTTTTTAGATCTGCAGGTGCTTCACCACTGATCCTGCCTCACCGCTAATTGCATGATGGGGACTACTTCCAAGTAGTATTTGCCCATTGCAAAATGTGTCCAGAGAGCAAAGAGATGACAAAGGTAATGTTTGCTCGAATCTTGGAGAAGGGATGCGGCTGCCTCTCTATCTAGTATGAACAATGTAGCAGGAAGCCACTGCAATCCACTGACATACCTATCATCATTCATGCCAACCCCTACCTCCCCTTTGTGGTGGAAGTAGATGTCGCCAGACTCGCCACCTTAGGCATTGGAGCAGTGTTGTCTCAGCAGCAGAGGAATCTGTCCATGCGCATACTTCAAAAAGCTCTCCCCAAAAGTGCAGAACTACGACTTTGGTAACCGTGAGCTCCTTGCTATCAAGCTGGCACCAGAAGCGTGGCGTCACTGCCTGGAGGTCCTAGTGATCACGGACCATCGCAACCTAGAATACCTTCACAACACCAAATGGCTGAACCCTCTCCAGGCCCAGTTGGGCATTGTTCTTCATGTGATTGAACTTCACTGTATCCTACCGTGCATCCAAGAACACTATTAGGGACTTTAAGCAACAGCCTCTGGTGGAACGGCAACAGCATTCTGTTGTTCTATTCTAACTGCTACTTCACGACGTTCTACTGTAACCGTCTACTACGGGGGAACAGCTGATTTGCCGTAGTCGTTACTACGTGACAGATTAAGAAAGTTAATGTTATGATTTAGGTTATGTGGCATTATAATCGTTTCTGTATATTATTAAATGCCAAAATCAATCCTTCTCTTACTTTTTAAAATCAGTTTATTTTTTGTATTTTGTCTGATGATTAAATTATCCCCTATGCCGTCCTCTTTACTGTTGCTTAGTGATTTTTGCGCTCTTTAGCTACGGCAGTTAACCGTTTACTTCCGGCTGCCGTTGCCGTTCTATCAGCAGCTGTTGCTTAAAGTCCCTATTGTCAAGATTACACTCCTGACGCTCCCAGCTATTCGTCACTCACACTTACCTGAGCTCTAATCAAGCTTACCTATTTCCCTTTATCCCTTCATCACTGACACTATATCACCGCAGCACAGACACACAGTCAGCGTCTGGTCTCTCCATTGTATTACCCTGTAAAACTGTATGAGTAAGACAAAAGAAAGAATCTTCATGACCAATTTGAGACTTTCAGTGTATTGTTTATCTGGATGTTCATGTCCTTCATGTGTCCTCGTCTTTGCTCTTACTCTCTGCAAGATCACAACTGAGTTACTTCCAGTTAAATATCCTTTTCAGTTTCTGTTGTATTCCACCAGTACCTGATGAATTGTGTGCAGTACAGCTGTGGCAAATATATTGGCAGTGACAATTTTGTTTCACAAAATTTGCTGCTTAAGTATTTGTATATTATATTTTTCACATGTTTCTATGGTATACTATAAAACAATACAGGCTTTATTAGCAAAAACATTCAATATATGAAAAGAGTCAATGTTTACAGTGTTGACCCTTCTTCATAACCTCTGCAATTCAGTCTGGCATGTTGGATATAAGCTTGGGCCAAATCCTGACTAATTGGCGACCCATTCTTGCCTTATTAGTGCTCAGAGTTTATCACAATTTTGGGGCTTCTGCTTGTCCACTTGCCTTTTGAGGATTGACCACAGGATCTCTATGGGATTAAGATCCGGGGAGTTGCCTGGCCACAGATCCAAAATTTTAATGTAATGAATGCCAAGCCACTTCATTATGATGTGATGTGACTTGACATGAAGGTCAAGTATGGTAGCCCATACTTGGAATTTGTCCTCTGCCTTTAACCCATGCAGGTTAGTCCACACTCATTAGGAGTAGTGAGAACGCACCATGTCAGCCATTTGCACCCGGGGAGCAATTGGGGGCTAGGTGCTCAAGGGCACCTCAGTTGTGTGTATTGAGGGTGGAAGAGAGTGCTGTTCATTCACTCCCCAACCTACATTTTGCTGTCGGTATTGAGAATCGAACCCACAACCTTTGGGTTACCAGTCTGACTCTCTAACCGGCCTTGACTGCCCCAATTATCACTCTCGTCTTGTGACATGGTGCTCCATTATGCTGGAAAATGCACAGATCATCACCAGTTTGCTCCTGGATCGTTGGGAGAAGTTGCTGTTGCAGGAAGTTTTGATAACATTCTTTATTCCTGGTAGTGTTTTTGGGCAGAATTTTGAGAGAGCCCATTCCCTTAAATAAAATAAGCAACCCCAAACATAGATGGTCTCAGGATGCTTCACTGTTGGCATGACACAGGACTCATGGTAGTGTTCCCCTTTTCTTCTCTGGACAATTGATTTTCCAAATGTCCCATACAGTTGGAAGGGGGCTTCATCAGAGAAAATAACTTTGTCTGCTGTCTAACCCTTTTGCTGCCCTTCTTGACACCAGGCTGTTGTCCAAAAGTCTTGGTCTCACTGTGTGTGCAGATGCATCACACTCACTTGCTGCCAATATTGAGCATCTCTGCACTGGTGGTGATATGATTCCATAGCTGACTCCTCATGAGGAGATGGTCCTGGTGCTAGCTGGACACTCTGGGACATCCTGAAGCCTTCTTCACTGCAGTTGAACCTCTCTCCTTGAAGTTCTTGATGATCCGGTAAATTTATCTTTCAGGTGCATATTCTTTGCAGCAATTTCCTTGCATATGAGGCCATTTTGATGCAAAGCAATGATGGCTGCGCATCTTTTTTTTTTTTTTTTAGGTAACCATTGCCAACACAAGAACACAATGATTGGAAGCACTTCTTCCCTCCTTTTATAGAAATCAGTCTGCTCGTATGAGTGATTTCCCCTGACTAGTACTCCACACTTTTCCATTCTTTTTTTTCAGCCAATTAAGCTTTTTGCAATTATTTAAAATTCATCTGATCAATCTGCAAAATCTAGAAAAGATGTGAATCAACACCCAAACAACTGAAGCAAACAATTTTGCTAAACAAAATTTGTCACTGCTAATACTTTTGGCCTCGGCTGTAGGTTCACACTTTACAACATCAGAAAAATCAGACCCTTCCTGTCATAATACATGGAAAATACTATGGAAACTAGCATGTATAAACTGTAATTAAACAATTGAATAATAAAAAAGGATTTTATGCCTGTATGATATTATGCTGGACCAGCGTGTTTTGAAAAATGGATGGATGATTGATTCTGCTGGAGAGATGCGGGAATTCATTCAGTCTGCGACTCTCACAGTGCATTATACCTATTTATCTAGCCGTTGAGCGTACATCGGTTGTACATTCGTAACTGCGGTGCATTTTGGAATTGAATGAGTGCACTCAATAGCGTACACTATGGTCTCGGACAACACTAAAAATGTCTGTCCCCTCAAATAGTGCCCTATTTAAGGGTATATGGGGCGATTTCAAACACAGCCTAAGTATGATCCAGAACACAGCAGCAAGTCTGGTCTTCAATCAGCTGAAGAGAACCCAGTTCACACCCCTCTTGATCTCACTCCACTGGCTCCGAGTAACAGCCAGTCCCCACACCTTAAAAACAATGCACTTATTTACACACACACACACACACACACACATATTTTTCTTCCTTGCATTTCTCTTCTTCTCTATCTTGCTTGCTTGTCTTGTCTAATTAACCTGGCATTGTATAATACTATTATTGTTGGCTCTTTTTAAATCACCTTGGATAAAAGCATCAGCTAAATGACTTTACAAACTTGTATAGAAAAGAGAAAACAGCCCTCATTGACCACCTGAGCAGTTTCCACAGCAAAAGCATGACGTCCTCTTCCCCAGCTGAGCAGAATTAAGAGGAACATTTGACGGTGTCCCGGTTGTTCTGCGTTTTACTGTTTGCTGGACCACTTGTACAGGGGCGGTGGGAATTTGAAATGGATTTAGCCTGATTGGCAGCAGATTCAATCTGGCTTGCTATCGTAACAGCTCTGCCCAGTGTAATATCAGTTTATAGTAAAAGTCTCTTAAATATTCATGGACTAAGCACATTCTCTACAAACTAATTTAAAAAAAAAAATTTAGGTAACCATTGCCAACACAAGAACACAATGATTGGAAGCAATTCTTCCCTCCTTTTATAGCAATCAGTCTGCTCGTATGATCCAATCAGAATGATAGAGTGATTTCACCTGACTAGTACTCCACACTTTTCCATTCTTTTTTTTTCAGCCATTTAAGCTTTTTGCAATTATTTAAAATTCATCTGATCATTCTGCAAAATCTAGAAAAGATGTGAATCAACACCCAAACAACTGAAGCAAACAATACCGGGGCGGCAGTGGCTCAGTGGTTCATGTGGGTTGTCTACAAACCGGATTCCACCTGACCAAGTGTCGAGGTGTCCATGAGCAAGACACCTAACCCCAGCTGCTCCCGACTAGCTGGATGGCGCCTTGCATGGCTGCCGTCGCCCGTCGGTGTATGAATGAGTGAGTGAGTGAATGGGTGAATGGGTGAATGTGAGGCAAATGTAAAGCGCTTTGGTGGCCATTGGGTCTGTGAAAGCGCTATATAAATGCAGTCCATTTACCATTTACCATAATCGTAAATAATTTCATCAGTACTGGCAGTGAACTCAAATGAAACAACAAGCTATATTAGCTTTTGGCACAAAGTAGGCTTTCAATGCTGTGTTTTTCTTCCGGCCAGGCATGCCGTTACATCAATAACTAGTTGGTAATTTAAAAAAAAAATCAGAAGCCATGTTCTGAACGGCATAGCAGGGTCACCGGGGCAACGCTGTTAGCAACAGCCATCTTTATGACCAACGATGGCGAAAAAATGCTTAATCCTTCAGTTTGCAGTATCTGATCATATCAGACATAATAATCATGACTTCTTGAACATAAATCACTTTGAATAATAAA